TTTTTTTTTTTTTATTTAGGGAGAACAGGACCCAGGGATTTGACACCAAGCCACATCCCTGTCTTTTTTCAATTTTTAATTTGGATAGTATCATTAAGTTGCTAAATTTCTCAGACTGGGCTTGAATTTGTGATTCTTTTGTGTTAGTCTCAGCTCCTGCTCACTGTCTCAGAGGCTGGGATTACAAGCATACATGACTTTCTCATGGTTATCTATCTATCTATCTATCTATCTATCTATCTATCTATCTACCTACTACCTACATACTTACCTATCTGCCTACCTATCACTGCAAAGAACTTCCAAGTAACTTCTGAAAACTTCTCAGTTCTTTGAAAATATCTAGAAGCCACTTCCATTGCATAAGCTCTCATATATAAGTGAAATGGGTTATTTCAATGTGTTTTCTCTCCCAAGATGCTAGAATCCATTCATTTGGTGCATGATATATACTCTACCCTTTTTAAAAATGTACTGTGTGTCATCTATATTACAGGTAATATAATTGGATATTTAGATACAACATCCCATTTAAATCTTGTATGAGATAAATGTTAATAAACACCATTATTATTTTGTTCTAAAAGCTGACATTTAATTAAGGAACTGTGGGAATTTGTTTGAATTCATTTCAAGTGTATGAGGATTATCAATAATGGCATTTGCTCAAAATTTATTTAATCTAAAGTTCTTTGAATCATCACTGGGTTCTGAACACCACTGTCCATGCTTCTGTGGGACCCCTCTACAGTAAACATTACCTCTTTTAAGAACCAAGCAGTTAAAGATCCAAAGATGAGCATGTCATTGGCTTCCCGGTCATGATGAGGGATCCCAACACTGCAGGCTTCCCAGAAGTCACCCTTCCACCTGTCCAGGTTCCACGCAGAATAGCCTATGTCAAAGAGCACCACGTATGGACTCCCTTCCACCAGCCACCTTCCAAAATGCACCTGTCATGGGAAGAACATGGATCCACGGCATGACAGTGAGTAATTGGAGCAGGAAAGAGGATTTGACCTTAGAGAACATAAACTTCATTGAAGCCTCAGCAGCAGATTAAGCTATACAGAAAAGAGTTGAGATGACTTCAGTTGTTGGAGGAAGCTGGTGGGGTTCATATCCATTCTCCCAAATCACTGCTCTTTATAAAATCTTATCAACAAAAAAAATGTATCTATGGGACTGAGACAGCTCAGCAGTCTAAAGCACCTGTGTAGGCAAGCTTAGGCAAGCGCAGGGACCGCAGTTTGATCCCTGGCACCACATGTTGCACCAGCCCCATCCCCATGGTGGGCTGAGCCAGCCACGAAAAAAGAAAAGAAAAGAAAAAAAATGTATCTTAAGAGATTGTGTAATCTCTTTTTTATGTCTCTCTTTGCCCTCTTGTGGTCTTGCACTCATGGCTATTGAGCTTGACATTTGAGTTCATATTTTTATGATCGAGTTCTGAGAGGAAATAACCTGTAGCTGGATACACTTACTACATCACTTATTTATCTCCATGAAAGACAAATTAAATGTATTCTTCCAGAAAGGATTTTTCTGTAGATAAATGTGTATGATTTTTCTTACTGCCTATATTTAAAAATGTGTAACTCAAAATGTTTCTCAGCACAGTTGCTGCTTGAGGTCTTAAGTAAATGCTGCCCAAGATACATTATCTCTTTTAATCTAATAGCTCAAAACCCAATCTTATTGCATTCTTAAAATTGACTTCGTTGATTCCTACTTTGTTGGTTGCAAATTTCGATGTATTAGTTCACTTAGGTTTCTTCCAATTGTATTAACATCGTTTCTTGTATGTCTAAGTTTT